TCCAAATCGCAATAATAAAGGGGTCACAATAATGTTTTTTTCTGGCCCGGAATATCCCGATTTTACTCGATTTCCTTTTATTTGTACTACGAGCTGCACTACCTAGTCCTACCGCCACCCCCGTCATTCTATTGCGACCCCCCCCCTCCCATAAGCCCGAATCGCAAAACAAGATCTGAGGGGGGGAGTTTATTAATGTCATCTCAACATTAAGCTGATCTTGGGGCGAACACACAACTAGGCTTCGGTCAGAATACCTCTACTTTCGCCTCCACGCGGTTTAAAAAGATGGCCCTGTCACGTGGCACTAAGGTTGGTGACTGGTTTGGGCTGTCAAGTTTGAGCACTTCTTCAGGCTTGCAGAAGCTGACTCTAATCCAAGATGGGGTCCCCAGTTTAGGATACACCCCTGCCTATACTGTTATATAGTCCTTTTCATGGACCCCCAGGATAGAGGGTGTCAGAATGATAAACATAAAGGGTAAGGCTATGGTCTGTCCTCATGCGTAGCACACCGAGTGCTGAAATCATGATGCTTTTGACTTCAGGACCCCGTCGTCTCTAGGGCTTAGGATCTTCTCTGAAGAAAACCAGAAGCCACGACCCCGGCCCCAGTCCATGGGATCTTCGTTAGTGCGAGCTAGGACGGACCGCAAATCCGGAAACCCCCAAACCCTAAACCCTAAATACTTCACCCCCAAACCGAAAACCCCTAAACCCCAAACCCCTAAACCCTAAACCTCTAAACTCTAGACCCGTAAACCTTACCCATGCCACAACCCGAGCCTGCTAGACTGGCAGCCTCTGCAGAGACACCCTCCTTGGATATTTGGGTGAAGGCTTACGGGCATAGGAGCCACAGTCTAAACTCCTAGTACCCCCTTGTATAACCCCTATAGCAGTCCCCTACATTATCCCCTATAACCCCATTTTAAGGAGTTTAGATGATGGCTCGTAGGACTTTCATACCTTCTTCAATTAAGTGAGTCTCCTGGCTGGGGGCTCAAGACTTCGGACTGCTGAAAGAATCTGCACAACTGAAAGACAAAGCGCTAGGTCAGAGCGAATGCACCGTAATCGACAATGCAGGGGGCTATGAAGGCGCACTACTGCTGAGCCTTGAAGAGGATTTTCCATGCAAGGCCCTTCTCGGATACCTGTCGAGATCTCTAAACTGCCAAACGGCCTTACCCTCCAGGCGCCCAATGCATCCACACGTACTGCAAGGGCCTAAATAGTGACCAATACCACTTTGAAGTCTATGTAAGGTATTCTATACCGGAATTACACAAGGAACCTGGGACCATAACATTGATAGCTATCCAGGCTCCTACAGCATCTGCTTGTCAAACCCGAGAGTGGTGTCCTGGAGGTCTCCGTCGCTGGCCAGCGCGTAGATGTCATAGCCAAAGAGAGGGAAGTCGGACCTATCGCAGACAGTTTAGGCGCTAGGATCTAGGGTCAAGTGATTAGGATTGAGGAATCTATGGTCCAAGGTCTGCGGTCACGCAGTCTACAGTGTTTTCACGGTCTACAGTGTTTAGATTCTAGGCTTAGGCTTGCATGAGGGAACCCTCGATTACTTGAAGAAAGAAAGAAGAAATAGTAAGGGTAGCCCTATAAGAACCTACACTGCGGTTGAACTATAAACATTCTGAGCAGATGTCTGCAGAACATGGTAGCAGTAGCCTGAAAAGCCGGATGCCCGCATGCCGCTTAGAAACAATACCAAGATTGCAATAATCCTTCTGCAGCCCCCATATAGTCCCTTCTTGGAACCGGCCGCAATTCTGGGAGGCCCCCCACCCTAAACCCTAAACCCTAAAACCCCCACATGCTTCCGACAGCAATGAACCTGTTGAACTTTGTCGCAAGCCACTTCGAGGCGATCGCCATGCCTGCCACAAAGGCGAAGAGGGCCCAAGGAGCAAAGTTCTAGGTTTTCTTACTAGGGGCTCATGGGGACTATGGGAAGAGATTCTGTAAAAATTATATAATGAATATATTCCCTCCTCCGCGCCAGCAAGTTTGTGAGTCTATGAGAATTCCATTTTTTCAGGGCACGTCCCCTCATGTGGCTAGAGAGGATTCTGAACGATAGCTTGCCCTGCCATTTCGCTGCAGAGAAACTCCAACTTCAATTGTTGCAAGTCTTTCCCCAGCTAAAGCTCCCCCTACATCTGACCCAAAACTCAGAATCTTGAGAATCAGGATCCGCAGGCGAGGAGCCCCAATTTTTCGCAAAGTCTCCCTAAACCCCTGCAAAAACAGAGGTGGTCTGCAGCATGGGCCCCAAATATGGGCCACTCTAAAGGATTTGGAACCCCAGTAGAAATCATAATTTCAGCTTAAATATTAGGATTGTTGGTAACAGAAATTAATAATCATTTTCAGGAACCTTATAGTCCTAGGTCCTTGTCAACCTATCCTCTCTGAATTCCCCAGGGCTCCCATCCCGGCAAGTCCCATCCCACACCTTGAAGCCATAAAAACTCTAAATCCCTTAACCTTGCCAGTCAACCCTGAGAAAACAAAACTAAACCTAATATTGGATTTTGGTAACCCAAACCCCAAAATTAGAACCCTAGGACTATCATATTATGGTTATAGGATCCTAAATTTGGGGGTTGGGGTTACCAAAATCCCAACCCTAAGCCCTAAACCCTAACCCCTAAACCCTAAACCCTGAACATCGGATCCCTGAACCCTAGACTTCAATTCCTAGCCCTCTGGTCCGAGATGGCCTACGCTGGTCGCCACTCCCTGGCCCAGAGGGCCAGTAGTAACCTCCACGCCGGAGGTCTCGCCTAAGATCATGCGTTCCTATAGGGTTTAGGTAAATCGATCGATCAAGGATCGAGGAATTCGGATGCGGTACCTGTGTGAATTTGTAACTCCTCCCGGATGCAGATGCCTCCACTTGATACAAAATGAAAAATTAGCAAATCTAAGAGTGAAAATTGAAACAACCATGTTCCTCAACTGACATGACACATCAGCCCTCTGAGACGCCGGGCCATACTCCGGATGCCCTGGGCACTTGGAGCCAAACTGTCGGAACTCCTAGCACACGCTGCTGAGGGCTCAGCTTTGTTGGGGGGTTCAAGCTCTCCAGTCTTAGATCGCTCCCAGGCTTTCAGAGTTCTGCACATATGGTCAGGGCTCAAGACATGGAGCCTGGTGCTTCGCCTGCAAATCGTGATATTCAAGGTGTGCCTTATCGTGGGACCCCTCTCCGCAGAAAGGGCGACTTCAATCTCTTCTTCAGCAGTCTCCAGGACGTTGTGAAACTCCTCTTCGGACTTCACGCATTCGGACCCGCAGAGCTTCTTTTCTTCCAGGTTTTGATGTCTTACTTGGAGCCCAGAAATAATCCATGCCGGGATCCCGACCCTTGCTTTCAAATCTCAGCTCCGCCCCAACCCCCCTTCCCCGCCCACCCGCCTCCCCACCACAAAAACAACAGCGATAAATCTCAGCAAAAGGATGCCAGACTTGATGTCCCCCATCCATTTAAGGTCCTTGATGTCATCCAGCGATACTGCCGGACTGCCAGAAGCCTTCAAGGCTTCAAGATGGGAGGCGTGCGGCTACGCATGTGCGCTCTTGGAGTGGTGGGTCGGAACACCTCATGTCAGCTTAAGGCTTAGGCGTGGACAACAAAAAGCCGCAAAACAGGGACCCGAATCCCAGAGAGCCTCTGAGATCTCAGACCCAAAAGGTCTGGACTTCATGCCACGCAAAACCCTCTTTCATCAAGCAAAAGCAACAACTGAGCCCGCGGCTTCGCCATCATGGGACACCTGGCAGCATCCAGTTTCCAGCTGGGGCATGCCTTCATGGAGTGTAGAGGTCTGTCTTTGACGCCCAAACACCAACTTCAGGAGTCTCACTGCAGCATGGTATGACCTGAAACAGTATCCTATCGTGGGGTACAGTATTGTATTCCACAACAAAACGGAATATACAGAATAACAACATGTATCAACATGTATTACAGGGCTTCATACTGGGAGCTGCTGCTTGGAAGAAAAAAGTAAAGCGTGTCCAGGCTTGGGATCACACAAAACCATAGCAAAATCCTAAGCCCTAAACCGCGAAAACATTGGCATGATTAGATTGGTCCGCAAAACCCCAAGCTGTAACAGAGCAATATAGTCATATAGTCCTATAGAAATATAATCATCGAGTCATATAGCAATATAGCAATATAGTAATATAGTAATATAAGAGCAAAGTAACGTAGTAATATACTGGTAAGAGAATAGAATGTAGACCTGACATCCCAAAAGCCCTCAATTCCACCACCTCCTTCACCCCTGCCAGGTGGAGAAGTCCATAGAGCAACATAGACGCGTGGCCTTAGCGCAGCTGCCTTCCCCCCCCCCCAGGAGTTTGGGGGTTAAGGGTTTAGGGTTTAGGGTTAAGAGTTTGGGGGTTAATGGGTCCATGCAGGGTGATATCGTGAAACTAGCATGCTGCAGGGGTTTCGAAAAGTAAGGCCATGGTTTTGGACGACTACTTATCTTTCTGGCTAAATATTACTGGCTTCGAAGTCATGATTGGGAATGTTTATGACAGTGAAGAGGAGGCTTTCGGCGAGGCATTTTTAACATTGATTGCACCGCGACAACATCACTCTAAAGCTTCCCGGCCAGTGGACAAACGACAGACATAAGTTCTCCGGTGACCTTGTGCTTCAGAGGCTGAAGTTTGTCGAGGGTCGAAGCTTTCCAACTTTTGGCCCCAATACCCCTGCCTCAGAAATCGGCTTCAAATACTGGAGGCCAACTTGCATCAATCCTGTCCTGCTCTCATGATCAAAGAAGCAAAAGTTACCAGGAAAAGCAAAATCTCAGGGACTCTCCCACGTATGACCTTCTCTGGAAGGCTCACGAGACATTGAACAGGGGACTTGCAACCAAAGCTTCTCAACATGATGGTCTTCCAGGATCCCTATCATATCGCATGTGGTAGTTAGCCTGAATAGGGGAACCCCAATATAGACCCCAAAATACTACAATCCTTATAATAGGGACCACCAAAAAGGTAACGCTAATTCGGAAACCCCATGTGTTATAAAGGTGGCCGGCCCACTTGGATTCCTTCAGCGTTCTGCAAGGGCTTGCCTCAATCTTGGCACCCGCCCTGTGAAAGCTTTAACACTGCACATCTATAGCCCAACACCCTAAGCCTGTTTTTCAAGTGTCCTTCTTGAAGACTGTGGGCCTAATGCCGAAAATGCCAAGCCGGTTGCCCATGGATAGCACGAAGCGGTCCCGGTTCCTAAGCTTTTCCAAGTCAGTGGGGGGCCTAGTGTGGATTTATGTCACTGTGAAAAAGCGCTCGCGAGCAAGCATCAATGGAACCTGAGGTCGTAAGAAAACAAGAAAAAAGTTTAAGTTCAGAAAACATTTGAATAGTTTCCAAACTTAGGGTCCCATTTTGGCCCTACATCTGCCGTGCTGTGATTTCTAATCATTAACCAAAATGGGCCTAATTTTGAGAATAATCCGTATGAGCTATCGTTAAAACTCCTAGAATCCTGCTTAATAACTACTATAGTAGTCCCCTATTTAATCCCATTTAAAACCCCCCTGAAAGAGTTGAGATTCTGCCACACATGGACAGCATACAGCATGATGCTTAAGGTCCCAGGGCTTTGCTCCCACAATCCCACACACCAATCCGTGACATCCAGTCCCACACAATACCCCTTACTTACAGAAAGAGCACAACTCGAAATTCTTGGTGATTCTTTATGTGATACGTACCCCACCCTGTAATAGTGACTATAAGGGAGAATAACAGCTAGACTAGAGTCCTATTATATTCCTATTATACCACTATTTCAAGGCGGGGGGTCCTCCTAAGTGATTGATTCTTTCTACAAGTGAAGAGGCCACACCTTCACCCTGCAATGCCTGCAACCCCGAAACATGGTCCCTGAGCCCAAGCCTGAACGACGCGGAACCAAACATAATGGAAAAGAAAATGGAAACTGCTATACCACATTGTAGTATATTCTAGTACAATGTAGTAGATTATCGCAAAGCCTATTATAGTAGATTCTAGTATGTTGTAATATACTATAGATTTCGGAATTTCAACTTCAAGACCCGAGGCCATGCAGCCCTAGGCCTGACTTTCCCAACCTCCTCGTTCGTGAACAACCCCTACTCAACATGTTACAGCCTTCCTCCGCCTTGGATGCAGCGGATGCCCACAAGGCTGGGTTTGAGAAACCCACACGTTAGGCCCTTATACAGGAAACTGACACCTGAAACCATGTCCAAATCCCAGAAGCCCGAAATCCTGAAAAAGCAAATAAAGAGGTCAAGGAAGATGTTTTGTAGTTCTCCTGGATTTCTATACCAAAAGCTCATGCCCCAACCCAGAACCGCGAAATTTGAACCCCAAATTCCTCGAAGCTCCCAAACCCTAACCCCAAACTCCTGCCAAGACCCTGACCCCTAAACCCTGAAACCAAGCAGGCGGGGTTCGCCCAAAGAGGCGCATCGGGATCGTAATTTAGGATCCTTCGCCAGGGGAACTAGTAATAATGATAATATTAATAGTAATAGTAGTAGTGATAATAATAGTAATAGTAATAATAGTAGTTTAGGAGGAGCCTTGAACTAGGTTACAAGAACGTTTTACCGTAGGAGTTGCTGGGAGAGTGACAGCATACTCTGCCATGTACTTGATGGTACTTTACTAGGATAGATGTATGATTTGCGAGGGGACTGCTGACATCCTGTCCTCTTGGCCATATTCTGAGAGTAACATTTGGATATGTCCCGAATGTCTCAAGCCCTTCTTAGCGCATCGAAACCAAAAAACCAGAAAGTGCGAAAAAGGATTTCGTTCAATGTAGAACATAACTCCAATATAATCCCTATAACCACTATAGTTTCCATTTTATTTTCCATTATCCCAATAACACCCCAAGCCACTACGGCTCAATGCAGCTTG